TGTGTGTGTGTGTGTGTGTGTGTGTGTGTGTGTGTGTGTGTGTGGTATGTGTGTGTACGTGTGTGTGTCTGTCCTGGTATTTCAACTTGGCACTCAAGCAAGCTCCAGCTCCAAAATTTTGCCATTGGGTTCCCCGCCCAAGTGCCAACCCAGGACCGCGCTATCCTCGTCAGGCCCCGCGTACGAAAGAGCGAAAGTTTCGGCGGAAAAAACGCTAACTCGAGAATGAGAAAAGCTAGGAAGCTAAAATTTTGAAATTGTGTTCCCCGCCTACATAGAAGTCAAAGATTTCAAATTCATCCACCAGGTATGCGTGCGTTCGGCCCCGTGAGGGATCCTAGCGAAAATCGCTAACTTGGGAACCAGGAAAGTTGGAGGCTGAAATTTTCAGGGAATATTCCCAGCGCATGTACAACTTAATGTTTTATGTTTCTTTTCATAGCAGAATTGATAGTATGCCCTCATTGGAACAGCGGTTTGCCATTCCAATAATTTGATTGCGAATTAAAGGTAGTGCGTTTCAGGATTTATTGACCAAAGGGCTGCTTTATCGAGTGAATGTTCAGGAGTGCTTAATCAGCAAGACAAAGAAAAGTATTATTCAGCCGGTAGAGTGCAGTGAACAATGAAAAAATGATTAGGTGGAAAATGTTAGAAATTTCCCGGAACTGATGGAAGAATCAAACATACAGTGCGCAGCTTTTATTCATATACATAGAGCATAAACCACTGGATTAAGCTGCACTTCTAATTAATCGGGCTGAAGACTTCTAGTAGCGCAGCCTCCTCAAAGACGCGGTATAGCTTACGCTCACTGCGTCATCCAAACCAACGACAGAGGTGGAATATTTGCTGAATTACTGAGTCAAGAAATTTATTAAGCATTACAATATTTATGAGTGGATTCGGGTGCCCTGACGCAAACCATGAATACGTTGAATGCAACAGTGATGGAAACGAACGCGCCAGGCGCATATCATCATCGCTGGAACTTGCTCACCCCATCACTGCTATCCGAAAATGGCGATGAAAACAACACCTCTGAGGTATCTTGTTTCTCAAATTGAATTGCCATAGCACAAACAAATACAGACCAAGAATATCAAGGTGTGGAGAGCTTTGACGAGGAAAGTTAATTCTTCGTAAATGTGCTGCTGAAAACAATTGCATCAGTAAAGCTATATTTTTGCCTAGACATTTTCCAGTGGCTCAACAATACTTTGTTCCAAATTCCATAGACTGAATAAACTAAGCCATGTTTCAAAAAGGTATGCCGAGCGATCAAAATCGAGCATCCGTTTGATACGGATGAGCATCCGGCGTTCTTTCGGACGGGCTCAGCCGCGACGGCCGCCAGTGTGGCTCAGCAGCTGCAACGTCGTCAGTCAGTAACTTCAGCTTCTCCGGTCGCAACTCCGACAATTCCGCTAGCATCATGCGCCACTGCTGCAGCCTCTCTTTCATCAGCATTCAGCAAACGATCTGCAACATTGAACAGAAATGTAAGTGTTTTAGGAAATGTAATGTGTAACCTGCTATTGATTTTAACTCATTGGCCTGCGCACTGATTACGAGAGAAGACGAGGAAGGATGGGTCCGTTGCCTTTTTTCCTGACACGCTCAGGAAGAAAACCAGACTAGTCCAAGTGGGGGAGGCAGAATAGAGAAGCGCAAAGACGCACTGACGCGGTAGCTTTTTTTTTTTTTGAAATAAAATATATGTAGAACTCAGTGGGTAATGCGCCAGTGCATAAAAGGATTTAACCGATCCAACAACCGGAGAATGCCAAGATTTTGAATTTACAAAATTATGCTCTTCTAAAGTTAGAACACTACCATCTAATTAGTAGATCGTAAACCAGATGCAGAGCTGAAAGTGGGCGAAAAGAATTCAAAGAAAAACACACACACACAGATACACAGACAGACAGCCTCTCGTAGTAAACGTTTTTGCATTTAAATAAATGTGCAGCATCACATAAAAAGCATAACAAATTTTTGTAGCAATCAAAATCGTTATTTCAAATTTCAGCTAAAATCTGCAAGCGACACATATCTTTGAATTGCAATTTTAAGACTAAAAGTAGAAATTTCGAAGGTGCACCTAACGTGTATATGAGTCCACTAAGCTTAACAGACATTCAGTTGCGCGCATATACACACCCAAACGCAGCCTTTACCTTCATTTAACACTTGAAACTTTTTCAATTCCATCTTTTCAACCGGTTTCTATTCTCATACAACGGCACAAACACTGCAAAAGTACAGTTTTCAGCAGACAATTTTCAAGGTATTCTTTTCAACTCCACTGTATTGCCGCATGCCAGCAGGTTTCCCTTAAACATATCCATTTTCTGCTTTTAAATAAACTCATCATTCGTTTTTGGAAAACGTCTCCAAATGTGGTACTGCACATGACGCATGCTTTGCAGTTTCATCAAAAAAGTCCACCAAAAAAATTGGTCTTTGTAAATTTGGCTTCGTAAAAACAGTACGAATTTCCAACTTGGAAGTACCGCAGATTTATTATCACATCGGATAATTAAGGATCAATAGAACCTAAAATGTGAATAACCACCTGTGGGCAAATACTACTTAAATGTCTTAAGCGTTTGCTAAATTAGCAGCAACAACAGCAGCAACACCACCATCATCAGCTGCAACAGCAACGACAACAACAACCACAGCAGCAACTTCAGCAACAACAAAATGGTGCAAGAATGAGGGCAGACGAAGCACATTTGACCAGTGAGTGCGATTCCTCCAAACAAACCCTTGAGGTGAATAAATATTTGCTACTCGATATCGAAACACATCCTAATCGCTCTCGTACTGTAAACATTCGTTTAGCCAGGCAACATAAGCATAGCTACCAGACCCCATAAATGATCTTACCTTCCTTGTCTCCAATGTCGCCCCACATGTACTCACAAAAGCCTTCATAGTTTTTCTCGCTGCTGTCTCTCCCCAAGATAAGCAGCAAGGGTCCAGTCATGGCATTTGCCGATCCAGATTGTTAACCCCCAACCACGCAAGTCGATCGATTCTCGTAATTCACAAATCCTTTTTAGCGACCTGCGGTCTTGATTGAACTTTTGCTATTTCTCTTGTGAGCTAACAAAATGAGGCGTACAAATTGAGGAAATTGAGCTAAACGTTATGAAAGCTTTCTCTTTCTCCTCAGGATTATGCGAGATTTTATCGCTGTGCATTATTCTAGTTTTTGACGAAATCCAGTGCTGGTTATAAGCTGCCAAAGTGAAGTGAAGGTGTGGGAATTTTTGATATGGTTCGATAAAAATTAGGAGAAATTTAAATTCTTCCTGCCTAGTGTCATTTGGAGCTTCTAAATTAGTAGAAATTCCATGCTGCTACCGATTAATATTTTGAAGTTACTTTCAAAGCTACGTTTAGTGGAACATAAAAAAAAATTTTGGGCCTTTTGTATTTCGGTCACTGCATTTTGCAATAAGTCAGAGAAGATGGGAGAGAGCGGCAGACCGAAAGAAGAAAGAGTAGGGAGAGGTGAAACACGGAAGAAAAGTTGGAAAAGCTAGTTCGCACCTCAAGATCTAATGCTTTGTAAGCTTTTGAGGTGTTATATTCGGTCGTTTTTGGGTACGCATCTATGGCAGTAATACTGCCTTCGGAAAACTTATGCCTTGATGTTCCTTTTTTTCTCAGATACCATAAATCTGCAAAAAAATTTGCTGGCTTAATTTACTTTTCTTCGGCACTGATAGCAGTGACCAGTAGTGGCATCGCCCAAGTTACTCAAGGAAGATGTCCGCACCAGTAAAAATGGTGAAAAAAAAAAGCTTCCAAATGCTCCTGCATTCTCATACAACATGTGCAAATTGCTAATTGAAAATTCCACTACATTTTATCCATCATAAAATGAAGATGTTGAACAATACACACCCTCCCCCCACACCCACCCACCCACACACCCACTCACACACAAACACCGACCCACACACACACCCACACACGTACACACACATTCACACATGGATGTATTTCCCATGAAGTTAGATCGAAAATAAATTGTCAGACCCATTCGTTCATTTTGACAAAATGAGTAACAAGTCCACGAACTGCGCGGTAAATGACGAGCACATTTGTCCTCATTAATTTATTTTTCGGTATTTTTGTGAAGCCTGTCTTTAAAAAAAAAAAAAAAATTGAGAAACCTAAATTTGGAGAATTGGTGTGTCTGGCTAATCCACAACACCGGTCTCATCGGTTTGCAGGCGCTGCTGACCAACGAACGACAGTACCTTAACGGACAAACAAACAACAATAATAATTCTGTCTCAACAACCCTAGTGAAAGATGAACAACGTCTGCCGTCAGGTTATCCAACTTTCATCCTTTTTCTGCATTTTTATGCATTTTTGCATCTTATGCAAATGCAAAAACGCGTGTGTGCATTGTCAAGAGGCTGTGCGTGCATGTGTGTGTTCGAAGGCGACTGAACTTTGTCACCCACTTTGAATTCAGCAATCGGAAAAGCTAGGAAGCCAAAATTATAGGAGCATATTCCTACCCAATGTGCCATCGCGTAAGCGAAAGCAACGCTTATAAAGGATACTTTGCTGTAGAAGAAAGCGGAGCGGAGATCGTGGTTATACGGAATTAAATTAACTTGCTAATTTTCGATTAAATTCAAAGCCTTTAACTAAAAAATAATTTT